TCACTTGCTAGGGTTTAGGGTTTAGGGTTTAGGAATGTTGAAGGCCATATGTCTGTAGGTATGTATGCAGGGATGGGTGTGTGTACGAAGGCATGTCGAGTTACTATGTAATCGAAACATAATGGAAACAGAAGTGTGAATAAGCAACCTTTTGCCTTCCTATGTAGTCTACGACAGGATCGTTTTACTCTATCATATGTTTGTATGTCGCATTGCCATTGCGCTCCAAGGCTCAGCGACTCCTGGAAGAAGGCCCTCTACGACCAGGAGTGGAGTGCTAAGAGTTCCGGGGCTTTGAGGGCCGGGTTTCTGGGTCTGGGTTTTTTTGGTGTTTCGGGGTTTGGGGGTTTAGGGATTCGGTGGAAACTGTAGGGTTCAGGGAATGTCTGGCAGGACCTGCAGTTCAGCAAGTTCGGCACCGGGGTCACACAAGAGGCGCCCAGAAGACAGTGTTTTTTGTTTCTGCACACACACACACACATATATATATATATATATATACATACACACACGAAGTGTATGATAGAAAATAATATGGGTCAATAGAATATCAGGAGCTAAAAATGATATAAGAACGTATAAGACAAAAGAAGGTAGTATATAACAAGAACGATAGTGCAGTATGATGTACTACGATAGGTTAGATGGTACAAAACAATATTCGATTCGGCTATATTATAATGTAACATAATAGAACAAAATATGACACAATATATTGCAATATAGGATAGTGGAACATCACACCACACTTTACTTTGTTGTATTGGGTTATAATGTGACAAAAGATATTGTAAAGTACTATATGTTATGGTGCATTTTAATTGTGTCACATTTCTTTCAATTCCATTATGTTTTCTTAAATGTTTACAAAACAGTCGCATATGTTATCTCATATTACATATATAGCGCAGTATCGAGTTACACTGTAGTATATTGCAGTATGCTTTATCTATCTCAAACCGCATTATTCCATATTATATAACGTAGTGCTTGTTATGTTGTACGCTTTTCAATGTTGTATTTTATTCTGGTATATGACGGTATATGTCTTACATAATATAAGATCATACTATGTATGCTATATTACATTGCGTTATGCTATATGATGCCATGTCATATTGTACATTGTTATTCTATGTTATATCATAGTCTGTGATATGATGTGGTATTATATCATGTTCTTTCAAGCTGTATAAATGTTATGTTATATTATGTTGTAGTATATTGAAACATGTTACACTTGCAGAATGGTTTAAGCATACTATATGCCATGGTATGTTTCTCTTATATCGGACTATTCTGTTGTGATATTATATCACCAACCATATACATCTCTCTCTCTCTCTATGTATATAGACATCTGTATGTATATATATATATACATATGTATATATGTATGTACATACATACGTACTCATACAACCATGCGTGTGCAAGTGTGTATGTGTGGTTGTATGTGTATACATATATGCACACATATATATATATATATATATAGGTATCATGCACAGAGGGATATAGACAGAGAGGCGTGTGTATATATATATATATATATCCATATAGATATCTAGATGTATAGAGAGGGCCGCTTCATGCAGCTGTACTGACCAACCACGCAGGTCGAGAGAGAAAGGTGGACGGAGCATTGGGAGAAGGACTGCGGACAGCACTGTCCCGAAGGTTTCAAGCCTGACTCGACAGTATCAAGTTGCAGGAAACTCCGGATGAAAGAGAAGCGCGGAAGGACTTGGGAATCACTGGCACGATCGCTAGAAAGCTCGGAACTTCTGCAGGAACGTTATCGGAGATATGCGGCCGGTGAGCGGAATGACATTCCCTTTGAGACTCGGCAGATAAAACTGGACACTCTCGAGCCCACGTGTTCTGATGCGTGGCTCTGAGATGGACGTGACCCTCGATTGTGTTACAGCTGTAAGGGCATGCCATAAACGACGAAGCCACTCATGGTGGGCCGGAGGATGAACCACTCGCTTAGCTTCTAATGCCGGCATTTTGGGGGAGCCCCAGCGGTAGAACGCAATCGCCCGACCCGCCCATTCTTCAGGATCCCCCATCGCCGGAAAGTGCGATCCCAATGCGCAAACAGATGTTGGGGTCTGCGCTGACCGCCCCTTTCGAAGACGCCACTTGCAAAAGCAGTCTGGTGGCGGCGCTGTTGCCTTCAGAGTTTTTGATGTCAAGCACTGTCAGGCCAAAGCATTTCAACACGCCAGGCTAGTCGAAGCGTGGGTTGAATCCATGAAGGAGCCATGTTTCTCGGTTCAGTAACGTTAAGTGGAAGCATCGTCGCTGGGCATGCGGTGAATGCGCACTCTCACCCATCTCTGCAAAACCTGACATCCGCGACCCTCCGTGGGCCAAGGACAGGATGTACTCTGGCTGGTGGCCGGCAACTGTGTGTGGGGCTAAGCTCACCCTGTCTCGAAGTTCATCGACTTGGAGATGACGGCAACATGCATGCGAGATTTCCAAGTGCCCGGCAGGGCTTTGGTCGTCGGCGGTGTCTTCTACTTGTGTGTGAAGGCACGCGATGTCGCAGCCGATCAGGCGAAGCGAGAAGAGAGAGTTGAAGTGCAGCTCGCTTGCGGAGGCGCCTGAGTGGCAGGAAGGCCAACCGCACTTCTGCGACCCGATGTTCGACGACAAGAGTGTCGCTCACATGCACCTACAGTAGCGACATCATTGCTTCTGTTTCTTCATGTGCCGTATCCGTTCCCTTCCGAGCTGAGGTGCCCCTGGTCCGTGCTTTCCATGATCCCGTGCGGAACCGCTGGGAGCGGCTCCCGGAGGCGCGGAGGAGCCGAAGGAGCTTTTCACCAGTCCAAAGCCATGGGACGCCAGGGCCAAGAGCCACCGACGCCCCGGCAGCTCTATGCCTACTACCAAAAGGCGCTCTGAGAGCTGCGAGCTGCGAGCTGCAGTCCTTCTCCGACTCGGCCCGTCCCTCGCAGAAAATGCCGGAACTCATGGAGGAGGTGGACGTCCGGATCCTTCCGAAGGCAGTGCAGAAAGAGACACCTGGCCTGAAGTTCTTCCTCCGCGTCCCTTCGTTCAGGTGAGCTTGACCGCCCGGAGCTGAGAGTCCTGACAGCTAACCTCATTTTAAGGCGGACCATCACCGTTCTTGCAACCACGATCACCACCACCCCAGTCACAATCACAGCCATGGTTGTCATCATGATCTCACATATCGCCACTTCCAGTCGTGCAAATACAGTCATGCGCGGCGAAATTGAACAACCCAACGGGGGCCGACATGAAATAGCTAAGGAACGTAGGCGCGTTGGCTGGTTCACTGTCTGTAGACACTTCTTCCGCTCGTTGACCTTCAAGCCTTGCAAGGTCTTGAACGTACCAAGAACTTCTGCGGCAACACTCGCTTGTTTACTGTCCCATGCATGAAGCTGCAGACTGAGACTGGGGTAAGTGTCCCTGCATCAGAGCTTCGGGGTTTGGCTTTGTGGCAGGCAAAGCCGAATTTTCCACTCACTGCCACCTCAGCCAGCCGCTTATAAGTCTTTTCAGAGTTGGTCAGCGTTGACTCTGCTGCTCACGGTCTAAACGTTTGAGAAATTCGGAACGAGGCCGCATGACGCTGCAGTCTGCAGCGCCTTGCTGAGGGGCTGGCCGAGTGCTGCTTGGACAAAATCGGTTGCCGACTTCTGCACATGCCAAGCGCTTGAAGTCGCCACCGGTATGCGACTACTGATGCAGACCCTCTTCGACATGACTTATCGTACCTAGTAGCATTGACTGCTCAGCTTGGCTTGGAGCGCGGGCGTGCCTCAGGGAATCGGCATGCAAGGTGCGTCAAGGTCTGCCAAAGACAGTCAGACAGATGTTATATATTATATATTATATATTATATATTGTATATTATATATTATATATTGTATATTATATATTATATATTGTATATTATATATTATATATTATATATTAGTCGGCTCCAAGTCGTAATTTGGTCCAGGAGTAACTGGAGCCGAATCGGTGATCGCACGTAGCGAAGAAGGCCTTCATCGCAGGCTGTAAAACGTAGCCTCGTCCGACCTGGTCACATCTTGCCGACATGACTTCCGAAGAGAGCGGCGCGGCGGAGGCAGGGTCCGGGTCGAAGCCCAGCTCACGCAACAGAGCCTGGAGAAAGGGACGACCCGTAGAGTCTCCCATGCCATGAACATTTTCAGCTGTCTCTGCAGGCTTCGGCGGACGAGGCTGCTCGTCTCTCGATCTGACTCTGTCATGACTTCGTCTCTGGGCAGGTGTCGATGTTGCGCACGGAGGTCGGCAAACTGACCCAGGCCCAGTGGCTTTGGACAAGGGCCTTCGGCTCTGGAGTGGTTGCTCTGAGCGCTGCAGGAGATGCTGATGCACCGCCAAGTCCTGGAGCAATGTCTGGAGGCACCAACGCCTGTCGCACTGTGGCACAGCATCGAAGGTTCACAGCAAGTGAGCCCTGAGGTGCGTGAGAGCGTGCTGGAGCAACTGCAGTTGCAGTTAGTGGCCAACAGAGACACTCAAGATCCCGGCGTTTTGCTTCGCTTCTGGGCTTTCGCGTGAGGAGCTGCTCCAGCATCGGGAAGCCCTGGTTCAATGCCTGGAGCTCCGGGAAGGAGTGCAGGCCGCTCTAGGGACCAGGCAGTGCCCTAGCTCTGCTAAGTGAGGAGACATTGATTCGCTTCCAGGCAGCTCTCAGCAGCACGCAGATCATCGGCGAAGTCGTGGATCGCATCGTGCACAGCTTTCCTGGCCACACGGCCACCAAGAAAAGGCAGCCGTCACAGTCTCAGTCTCAGTCTCTTGCGCAAGGCACGTCAGAGCTGGATCTCTCGCTCGCCGGGGTGTCGGTGCCTGGGCCGAAATAGCATTTCTTTGACACCTTCCTGTGCGCTGCAGCTGCGATTGCACGTAGAGCGCAGGACAACACGGCGCGCCACGGTCGAGCGATTGCGAGCCTCACGGAGCAGCAGCGACGCCGAATCCTTACCGAGCGGTCATCGTGGTAAGCCAATCCTGTATGCACCACAGAACAACCCTTGGAACTTTGACAGCCCCGCCGCACTTTGCTGCAGCTCTCCGAGCCGGCTGAACCTCTTCTACCAATCTCAACCCTAAATGCCCTGCACTCCCAATCCCCATCCCTCGGTCTAGACCCCTGAACCCCTAAACCGTACAAATGCCCTTTGACTTCAGGGCCCCTTCAGATACTTACGACTGCTCCAGGCTTAAACACTACGCGGGCCTAGATAGTTACTTATACCGCCCCAAAATGTATGATCACATTTATTTTCATTCCTGTGTTTTTTCTACTGCAAGGCCACCCCCAAAATCACCATTCAACATGCTAAACGTGATGCTGTAGGTTTCTGTGTCACGCCAGCGGCATCGAAGCCATGGCCAATTTGGAGCAGCAACTGAAGGACGCCCTGGAGTTGGTCGAGGTGCACAGGGCCCCAAGACTCCCGAGAGCTTCTATAGGCGGTTTAGGGTTTTTAGGGTTTTTAGGGTTTAGGGTTTAGGGTTTAGGGTTTAGGGGTTTAGGGTTAGGGGTTTGGGTTTTTCGGGTTCGGATCTGACTGCCTGCAGGTGCGGGATCTGCAGATCCAAGGCCTCCAAGCAGAGATCACGCTGCTGCGGCGGCAGCTCGCTCAGACGCCGGGCCCCTGCCCGTCCGTCAGCGAAGCCCCGAACCAGGCAAAGAGGCCGAGGCTCCCTGCGTCCACGCCCCCCGCCCCGGCAATCGAGAGGGCGCCCGCAGTCGCCGCACTGGGTTTCTGGGATGCTCTGCTGGCCAAGGAGCTGGTCCTGGCGATGTTCCTGGGTTATCTCTCCTCGCCGACTTTCGTGAAGCTGGAGAATTTGTCAGGGAAAAGCCTGGTGGTGCTGAAGAGACACTGGCCCAGATGCCTCGACTTGTCGGAGGTGGGGAAGGTGGGAGGTGCATGCTGGTTTCCCACGGACAATTCCTCGAGCTTCCACAGCCTGCTCGCGCAGCCGAAATGGAAACAGGCCAAGGTGCTCCGCTTCCCTGCCACGTGGCTTAGCAAGGAACGGTCCAAGTACGGTCGGAAGCACGTTTTGACGGAAGACATGATGAAGGCCATCAGCCGCCACTTGCCTGAGCTCGAAGAGATAGACCTATTCCCTTACGAGGGCTCTCCATGGACCGGTGTGGATTCTCGCATCGACCAGTTCGGACGCGAGATTGCTCGCCTCCAAAACTTTCGAAGCTTGAAGATGGAACTGTGGGACTGGAGGCCATTGAGGATTCTCCAGAATTGTCCCAACCTTCGGGTCGTGCATTTCCGATGCCCTCCTATCGGACGCGGATTCGATGCCCCCGGAACACCTTTTCAGCAGCTCCGGTGCCTGCAATCCTTGGAAGAGCTTTGCCTGATGCCAGGGAGCCGACGTCTCCCTGGGGGCTTGCTGGCACATGACGGCGAACTACAGAACCTGCTACGTGACTGCCAGCAGCTTCGCAAGCTGGATGTGGTGCCCTTCTGGGGCTGGACTGGCCAGATACTACCCAGCCTAGCGGCCCACCCAAGATTCCAGGTACCAATTGATGAAAAGTTTCTTCCTGTGGGTGTAGGACGAGGATAGCTGCTTATAAACAGTATTGAAGATGATCCCGGCCATCGGATCTTCATCTAGCCACAGCAGGGCATCGGGTTTAGGGTTTAAGGCTTTCCGAACTTCCAAACATCGAGTGGGCAAATAGAGGGAGGGCGGCACAAATCTAGGATTGGAGAACTTGGCCCTCGTCGCCACTCCGTCCATGGACCTCGCCAATGGCCTGAACCAACTCTGCACTTCGAACTCCTTGAAGCAGATTCGGGTCGTGCAGTCGAGTCCTGTCTTGGCAAATCCGCCGCCCTGTCGGATCAAGATCGTTGTCGAGAGTGTCTCTGGTTTTTGAACGACGGATGCTGCGGCAATGCCTATCTTGGTCGCTCCTTTCTGGCGCAGTGAAGGTTCCTGCCAAGTTTGGATGTTTGTTGTCAAAGGCCGCAATGATAAAAATGTTGCGGCACTTGCAGCGGTGTTGAGGATATAGAGTTTCGGGTTTAGGGTAAGATGGCCTGAAAACTTGGTAGACAGGGTGATTGCAGGGCCTGCAGCAGCATGCGACTGGACATTGCAATCGTCAACATGATTCGGTACCCATGAGCGGAAAAGGACTGCACACAGCCCGAAGGCACCAGTGACACCTTGGATGCCGTCGTTCGTGCGGCCAACACCTCAGCTTCACTGGCATAGATTGGGTGCACCAGTCACCAGTCGATTCGAGGTCAAGCGGTTAGACCGCAGCCGCTCTCGACAACGGGGTGCTGCTCGACAGGCCAGGGCGGCAGTGCAGGGCTCCTCCGTGCTGTTCCAGTGCAAGGGTGTGGGTAGTTGTCAAAATTATGTCCCTTTTGGGGTACCCTAAATAATATCTGCCGTATTATAACAAGGACCCAAAAAGGAGCCATAATTTTGACAACTACCGATGTGCAGAATCCCAAGGCCGGATCTTCGGCGCCATCAGAGCGCGCAGCGGCCTTGAGCTGGTGCTGGCGGCTGTCGCGAAGCTTCTAGCGGCCTAGGCTGCGTCCACCCGATCCATGCCCTTTTATGAGCGGCAAGGCCAGGATCCGGAGGGCTGCTCGTTGGCTTCGAAACCAAAGCAGTTTGTGCGTAGCTGTTCAACGTGGTGGCTTCGAAGGTGAAGGAATGGATGAGGAAGAACGGTCCTGCTGCCTTGTTGTCTCATGCAGTTCCGCCACTGTAAGGCATGGTTGAGAAGAGTCTGATCTCTCGATCCTGGTTGCATTTCTGTTTTTTTCCTCAGGCTCTGCCTTGCAGCTCAAGCTTGTGACAGACGAAAGCGCAAAGTGCACTTCTTTTGATTACTCCATTTCCGGTACATCCCTTCAGCACGGTTGAGACACTCAACGTATGCAAGCATAGTCAGAGACCTCACGACAGTCCAGAAGAAAAAACCTCATGCTGAATGCGGCTGCTGCCACCCACTCTTCGCAGGCGTGCTGACTGCTGTGCATAGTGCGATTGTGCCGCTGACCACGATGGATCCATGTGGGGATTGCCAAACATTCAGGCTTGGGGGTCCCTTACGAACAGGATCTACCAGGGCCACTAGGGTAAGACCTTACGAAGGGTCCCTTGTGTTGAAACTACCATGTTTACCAGGCATGCGCTGGCACTTGCCTGGGCAGGGAGCGTGGTGGCCTGAGTGCCACAGACGAGTTCGAAGGCTCCTCACTTACGGGCGATAGGAGCAGGAACAATCATATTACTCAGAACAGGAATAACGACAATACGAGCTGTCACCAAATGCAAAGCGATAATAATAATCATAACAACAACTAATCACACTGGTAATTGCAATAGTAGCAGGAGATCCCACTATTTATGGACCGAGTGCAAGTACACGGATTTCTGAGGCCCTTGCCGATGGAACCCGGCCATGCGGACTGGCGGCAATGCAGCTTCGATCTACAGACCACGCGGTGCGCCGACGGAATGCAGCGGTTCATGTGCATCCACAGCTTGACTGCCTCAAGCTTGCACGGCTCCTGTAACCTACATTGACATAGTGTGTGTATATGTGTGTGTGTATATATATATATATATATTACATATATATATATATATATTATACATATATATATATATATACACATGCGCCTGTAGCTTACACAACTTGTATATTGTATATATATATATATGTATATATATATATATATAAAGTATGTACATCTGTATATACACACACACATACACACATGTGTATGTATGCATGTATGCACGTATGAACGTACGGATGTATGGATGTATGCATGGATGCATGGATGTGTAGATGTACGTACGTATGCATATATGTACCTATAAAAGTGTATACAACATAATATACACATAGTGATGGCCGCTCCATTAATCTCGAGCAGCGGTTGGAGACTGCCTTTGCGAGGTGGATCTGCAGCCTCGCTTCTCCCCGGCGGAGTTCAGCTACGCCGCGGGCTCACAAAGCCAAGAAACTAGTGCACAATTGCCCGAGCACAGCGCTTAGTCGGCCACCCTGGACTTCTCCATGGAGACCTTCTCCATTGACGCGGAGCCGGAAGCAGGTCCTCAGCGGTGTAGAGACTGACAGAGCTCTGATCTCCTTGGCGATGGGAGGTTGTGAAGTTGGAGGCCTTCCGAACCGCCCATTCCTCGCGCCTGCCGTCGAGAAAGGCCTGGAGGTTTAGGACTGTCGGGATTGTTGCATACTGCTCAGATTGCCGTTGTCGCCAAGGCTCGTTCGAAGATGTCGTAAGTCCAGAGCCAACGTACGCCGTATCATGGCTCAAAAAAGTCTACGAGCCGCTAGCGGCTTTATGTTCCATGCCGGCTCGAATGAAGCCGTGTACTTCAAAGGTTCGAGATCGTTTCCATCCCGTGAAATCGCCAGTCTCGCGACCGCTGACAGTCCATCAACTGCATGCCCGGATTTTCTAGACGTGGATTATATTCACCTTATTGCCTTGTCGCAGACTGCAGGAGGCACAGAGGTTCGAGATGGGAAGGATGTTTAAGTTTAAAGCCTTCAGACTCCTTGTGGGAGAAATGTCTGGAGATTCATGATTCATGCTTTTGCTTCATCGCGCCGCTTGCCGCCCTGCCCATCTCCCGTTTGGGAGGATGATTTTTCTGATCTGCACAGAAGCTTCATGCCAAACACGGAAACGAGCGACCTCGAAAGCTTCTAGTCAAAGCCGTTCAGGTTGGTATGCAGTGTGAAGGCGGACCGCGGCATCGAACAACATTGCACCGCATATCAACGCCATAAAGGGTAGGTTGCCATGACACCAACATCTCATAGCTCGAGAACCGAATGCAGTCGTTGCCTCAGCAGGTGGCAATCCAAAGGAGTCGAACATCTGCGCGCGCGATCCGGCGCGTGGTTCTTACCCTGCGGCGTGCTATCGCAGATGTTTGACAAAAGCATGCCGTTCGTCTCAGTTTTGTTTTCAAGTCTTGCCGCTCAGGACAGGAGCCGAGCAGTGGTATCGGGTTTCCGCGCCTTGCTCAGTCTCGACGTCATTGACTTTTTCTGCGATGCCGCACGAAAATCGTGCAATTGCAGCCAGATTTAATTCCAAAGTTTTCAGGTTGCGAAGCTATCGGGAGCAGAGACCGAGGCCCTGTGCTGCTGCCAGTTATTGAGCTGATAGTTCGTCGGCACGTCAATCGGCATCATGCATGCATGTCAGGGTACGAGGTATACTAGACTGTGGGTGCGGGTGAAAGCATTGCACCATCGAAGGTGCTTCGCCAAGCTTTAAAACTGCCGGCAGCACCTCTTTCACCTCGTCCAGACACATGATGTACACACACACGAAAGTTTCCCATGATGCCAGATAGCCGGAATGCGGGTTCGAGGCCAGGGCTGTTTTTGAACCCGGCTGGCTCTGCACAGAGACCGTCATACTTTCAGAACTGGGATGTTCCTGCATCAGGAGGTGAGCTGGTTCCAGAATTTCGACCACAACAACGACTCTATCAGGCCTTGCAGACCTTGCAGAGCCAGGGCAGTCGCATCCTCCCACACTCGCTGAGGTCCAACTCGACGTGTCACATGATTTCGTCGAGGTCCAGCCGAGTGGAGTGATGAATGTCGATTCCGCTCTCTGTGCAGTTGCGATTCCCTTCAATGCGCTCATTCCTGGATCCAGAGCTAGTGATACAGAGTTGATGCCCGCCAATTTTCGCAGGTGGACTTTGTCTTGCAGGATAACGGGCAGAAGGTTCTTTGGAAGGCTTCGACATGTAAGCCGCATTGCTAGTCGCACAGTGATATGCTGCACAAGGCGACGCCGGAAGTCCGACGCGAAGGCTTGAACAGCCAAAGCAGCATTGCTACTCCACTGCAGACTTGGATTCAGGGTTAAAGCTGTGCTGAGCCCTACCGCCCCAAAGCTCAGCCCTACACCCTGAACGCTCTTTTCAGGTGAGAGCCTTGGTCATGGAGACAGGGGAGCAGCAGCATCACCAGAGGCATGAGGCCGGGACCTGCAAAAAGCGCAGGAGACAAAGCTGCTCAGGGTTTCAGGGTTCGCCTGGGTTTAGGGTTTAGGGTTTAGGGTTCAGGGTTTCAGGGTTCGCCTTGCATAAGCTGTGTAAGTCGGAAGAAAGCAAATACAGCTCGAGAAGTGAAACGGCTGCGAAGAAGACAGTGCCCAAGCCTACGCGGCAGTACAAGAAAAAGCGGGGGCAACGGCAAACGCAGGCGGCAGCAGAATATCAAGCGAAGCGGGCTCCGGAGAGGCCCACGAACGCGGACAAGCCTGCCTGAGGATCGGAGCAGTGAGCCGCACAGACAAGTTGAAGTCCAAATGGCCTGTGTTCCCAGCCATGAGCCATGGCACCAGCGGGGCAGGAGCGGCACTTAAGACCTGAGAAGGGGAACGAACCGGCACCGCCCAAACCACGCGACATCCCTGTTTAGGCTTAGAAACCGACCACCCCACTAAGCGACGGCGGTTGATCATGTGACATGTTTTGAACCCGCCTCGTTAGCCGACGGCAGTGAGTCGCATTTCACAAGCCCGCCCCCTTATTTGGCGGACGTGACGATCACACTTCTTGAACCGAGGCCAACCTTCAATGAGTGATGGCAGTCGATCAAATTTCTCAATCCCGCTCCAGCAGTACGCGATGGCGGCTGGTCACATTTATTAACCCGGCCCCCCCGATGGGGCGACGGCGGTTGCTGACACGTGTCAACGGTGGTGGCCCTAAGTTGATAAAAGCCCATAAGCCCTAAACCCTAAACCCTCACACTCGAGTGAGAAGTCTCTCAAGCCACAAGCTGCCTCAGCTAGATTGCCACGGTCTGCGCAGATCCGAAACGTGCGGTAGGCCCTTGATTCCGGTAGTATTGCCCTGATCGTTGAGACGAAAGGCTTTAGGGCTTTGGGGTTGGGACGCCTCTGCAGTTGCTGAGTCGTGTCCTGTCGGAGGTTTTTCCACTCGATGTAGGCCGGATGCCCAGCTGACTGCACGTGCTCGCATGCTTTCAGGCATTCATTGCGAAACCCCTTGCACAAGTCTTTTGACAGACAGTGTTGCCTCGATGAAAGATGCTCGTGAGAGACTCTCCACCAGCAGAAGGGTAACTCAGCGCAGTCAGGCTTCACTCGCCAGCTTTCCCTGCACATTGAGTCGGCAGATCCCATGAAGGCGCAGTCTCGAAGACCACGCCATGCTTTCGCTTGCGTTCGATCTTCTAGTGCATGTTGCGCGCGAGGCAGCTCAGGGTGTCTACACGATTAACGTCACCCGTGGGGGCTGCAGTAAGCAGCGGCCGCTGTACAACCCACGGTGAAGCTCTTAGTCTGTCGCGCCGCGCAGAAGCAGCGATGCTGAAGCTGTCAGAGAAGATGTGGCCTTGTCTCGGTCCGTCCGTTTCAATCGCTCTCTGTCTGTTCGGACTCGCCTGGGATCCTGAGAAGAAGCCCAAACCAGGCAGTATATGCCGTTGGATGCTCCATCTGCTTCTCGCCTCTCTGACTGCAGGGTTTTAAGGACGGAGCCGAATTTCACGGCCAGGGCCGGCTGAACTTGACGCTGCTACTGGTAGCAAATTGGGAAGGAATGGCAGAGAAGAAACTGTCGGAACCATTGCAGAGCGCGGAGATTCCCATCGCTTTTGTCGCTGATCCAAGGTCAGGCAGTTGCCTGGCACCCAGTTGTCTTCCAGCTAGCATGCCCACTGTCTGCGTCTCTGGTGTGAAATGCGATGCTGCCAATGAGGCCATATTGAATGTCCGCAGGGCACGTACGCGAACAAGGAAGCCAGCAGATGTTCATATTGCAACAGGACCCAAAGCCCGGGATGCGAGGAACTACGACATGCCATGCTCGCAGAAGTCCTGTCAGACGATCGTTTTGTCATCCGTGCCGGTTCCCGACTAGTGAAACAGGAACTGTGCTGTCTGCAGCAGCTTCTCCGTCTGCGACCTCTGCTTCCAGGCACATGGGTTTAGGGTTTAGGGTTTAGGGTTGGTGATCCAGCATCACGAGACGACAGGACACGGTTGACACCTCCTATGTCCTTGACCAGAGCGACGGCAATTGCACAGAGGCAGACCTGTTGTGCATGTCAAGCAGGTGCCGGTCGTAGCAAAGCTCAAGCAGATGGATCTTAAGCACCCAGCTCTTGACCTGCTGGTTTTGTTGTAGCATTGAACAGCTGGTGTGCGATCAAGGGCGGGGGCAAGTGCGAGTAAGGAAGAGATGCGCTATGTAAGTTAAGCTCATACTTCGGTGCATGGTAGGTCAAAGCGTAGGTATGCATACAAGAATGGGTGTGTGCAGAAGGAGCGTGCAAGCGGGCAGAAGGCCCTTACATGGCCGCTTGCCTACTTTTGATCAGCCCCCAGTTGCCGTCCAGGTTAGGGGCAGCTTCTTCAAGAAGTACTACTGGTGGTGGTGACCTTACGGGGCTCTTGGCCTCTCAACAAACACTTCTGGAGCAGTTACTTTGGCAGACTTATCAGTGGGCATCTTGTCAGAGAGCCAAGCGAAGGTGCCTCTCCGGATCGATCTTCGGCGGGCCCTGGTCCAAGTCCTAGCTGACAGACTTGACAGAATCCGGCAATGCGGGGACGAGGCTCATCTTGTGTGGGTGTCTGGTCTCTGTTTGCCGGCAACTCGGTTTCTGCAAGGCATCATGGGAGGAGGACAATTTCGACCCTAAATGCAGAGGTGAGTGGTTGTGCAGAACCTGCTGCTCTTCAAGACGAAAGCTCCAAGCTGAGATTTTCCTCTGTCTGTTGGGTGGCCGGACGTGTCTAACTGTGTGAAAAGACAAATAGCTTCATTCATTCCTTGTGGCAGATCGTGCTGGTGTGGCAGTCTAGGGCGTGTGGCAGCCTTGCAGCACCAGCTTATGGACTCGGATTCGGAGTGTGAGCGGCTTTCGCAACTCAGAGGCAAGGGCCGTGGCCGGCAAAGAATCCATAAACTCCCGTGTATGTGTGTGTGTGTGTGTTTTTGTCTGCGGCAAGCTATGAACGAGAGACAGAATCTGTGTGCTCCTTTGGTCATGCAGTCATGCCGGGCCTCCTCCAGCTTGGGCCCATGCACTGGCAGTCACTATCGTGCCGTCAGCCTGCATTCCCAGAGCCACGTTTTCCACGGTTGCGCCTGGCACACTCAGGTTTCAGCTCAACTCAGACTCTGACATCGATTAACGTCGGACCAAAGCGTCCATCTTTCAGAGAGGAACGAAGTTCGATCGCCTGGCAAGCTGTCAAAGATTACAGCAGGCTCATACAGGAAAAGGGGAAAAGGACTTCAGTGCCCCTGGTTAGTTTCAATCACAGCGGCTCTGTGGCTCTATTGGCTGAAAGAGGCAAGTGCAAAACTGTCTCGCATTCCACATCGCCAGGTTTCTCCGGGCAAGCCAGGCAGCACGAATACTGGCATGCAGCAGTGGATCGTACGTCACCGCATGCCTTGTTCCCACTCGGCCGGCATGCTAAAGCCCGAAGCGCTCCACTCGGATTAGCAAGTGAGTCCATCTCGAAGACTTGCATGAAACAGGAGTTTGCCGAGTTCGATGATGTTGAGCCAGGGGCTTCAACGGCTCAACAGGCAAGACACTGTACTTATTGCAACAAGCACTCTAAGGGGACTGCCAGCTCCCGATGATCCGTGGTACTGGCCAGGCAGGCCTTCGTCAATGAGAGTTCGCAAGAAGTTTCTAATTGAACTGCAAGCCGAGCAGCTGTGCATCTTGAGGCTGGGATGGTCCCGCACAAGATCGGCGTCTGGCCTAGCCTGTTCTTTTTCAGATACTTGCTTCTTCTCGATTCACCGGCAAGTGCAATGGCCTGGGAATGAAATACCAGGAGCCGGGAAGCAAAGTTTGCAGATGACGCCGCCGGCACTGCCGAGGCCTCCGCGAAGTTCCCGACCGTCCTCTGCGAGAGCCAGGCAACCGCCGAGATGCACTCTTTCATGCTTTCTTGAGCCGATATTGGTAAGATCCTGTCGGAACGACAGTTCGATCTGCAAGTTGAAGTTGTGCCAACCTGTGCCCCTGACAGGCAAAGCAAACCGCCGGGTGTGGGACGCTGCGAGCTCAAATCGAACCGTGGCCAAGTGTGGCGAGCTGCGGGGTAAACTCAAGGAGCCGCAGGGCCTGCTTTCGTCGGTGACGAGGCTGTTCAGCAACGCGCCACTGCTTACAGCTGCAGATTCTACTGGCCAGATTCGGTGGAAAGCATGAACAGGGTCACTCGTACAGAGCATGTGCTTCGTTAACTTCAATCCGGATTCCCCCCTTCCAAACTTCGCACTGCGCAGGCGCTTGGCCATCACCCGGAAGCAGAAAGCCGGTAGCTGCCTCGAAGTGACCAGGGACCAGTCTGAAAGCTTCGCGTTGGTGTCCAAGAGGCCTGTCGACCACAACGACTTCCGGAATGGGCTTGCGGCCAAGTCTTTCCCTATTGGCAGAACGGTTGCCGAACAACTCTTGCTTCCGTATGCTTGTGAACAGGACGACAGGCCAAGCCACATCTCAAATGGCAGATTGCGTGTTGCTGACCTGTATTTCGAGGGGAGTCGAGGCGAAAAGCTTGGCTTTGACTTGTGCCGCCAGGTGAAAGGCGTCCTTTCTCGCATAAATGAGGTGCGTATCGGAAATCAAAGTCAAAGAATACTGCTGATGATACAACATGAGATACCGGATTCACGGGAGGAGAAATCTCCTGCCTGCCAGGCTCTCACAAAGCTGGACCAGCCGCAGGACGAGAGAGCAACCCTAAACCCCTTCCCGCTAAAAAGCCTTTGCCACCCAACCCTGAACCCTAAAGCTGTAGCATGAATGACAGTAGAAGTCATGATCGTGACGACAGGACTGGGAACCAGTGATGCCAGGCATAGGCACGCGCCTCAGGGACCCTGAAAGAACATGTCCCGGAAGTGACTCGCAGCGTTGCTGGATGATCCGAAAGAGGCACGGCCACAGAAAGTAAGGACCACTACACTACAGCAGACAAAAGCCTGCCTTTCCGAACAAAAGGATGGATCACTATCGGGCTGCTTGTATTCTGGCCCTTGAAGGGTGGCTTACTAATCAGGGTCTGCATGAGTCACATTACCCTGCAGCCACTCCAGAGCTACAGTTCTTGTATCGGAGCAGTGTCTCTCTGCTAGGGACTCCTGGAACGGCGAGAGCCCAGCAGGCCTGGCGAGCGCAGAAAATCTGCGATTCCGGACATTGCAGCGCATACCAAAGGCCCTGCACCCTAAGGCCCCAAATTCCAGAAACCCCCCACAACCCGTTTAGAGCCCTTAAAGCACCTCAAACCCACTAACAGATAGGTTTTGTTGTTCATAGCATCTGCTCAGAGGCCGAAGGTCAATCCGCTGAAGCCTTTGCTTCCACGCGACCCGGCCCCGGAAGCAGGCAGCGCTTGCTCTAGTCCTTGTCTGACGTTTTTTTTTGTCAAATCACTGGCCAGATTGGGGGTTTGATGGCTTAGGGACATTTCGGGTATACTGAATATTAGAGGCCTGGGTTTAGGGTTTAGGGTATAATGAATATTAGAGGCCTGGGTTTAGGGTTTAGGGTATAATGAATATTACAGGCCTGTGGAGCTTGGGGCATTCCTGTCCAACCGTCCCTAAAATCTCAGCGGGACGGCACGGTCCTGGAGGTTCAGTGCGCGGGGACAAGCGGGTGCCAAGAGCCCCGTCCTGGTGACTCCTCGAGCCAGGGACCCGATGCACTTCTGCGAGAGAACCTAGCGATTAGGTCATAGGGCAGACTGTAGATGTAATATATATGTAGGTATGTAGGTATGTAGGTAGGTAGGTAGGTCGGTAGGTAGGTAGGTAGGTAGGTAGGTCGGTAGGTAGGTAGGTAGGTAGGTAGGTAGGTAGATAGGTATGCATGTTGCATTTATGCATGCATGTCTGCATTGATGCACGTAAGTGAGTATATAAGCATGTAAGTATGCATGTATGCCTGTACGTATGCTTGTACCTATGCATGCATGCATGCATGCATGCATGCAAGTAAGTAAGTAAGTAAGTATGTAAGTAAGTATGTATGTACGTATGTATGTATGTATTTATGTATGTATGTATGTATGTATGTCTGTATGTATGTATGTGTCTATAAACACATACATACACATGTGTGAGACCGTGTTTCTGTTGCTGAGTCGACGCTGTGCATTTCGAAGTCCGAGCAATCCCGCCGGCCCTTTGAGGCTCACGTATTGCTTTAGGTAGGTGACTGAGGGCACGACGCGTGCGAGGGTTTGTAGATGTAAGACCCAACACAAACAGAGTCTTCGGTGTGCAGATTTGGGCTGCTGTAAGCCGCTTGAAACAGCGGGGTTGCTCTGAATGATAAGTGAGTAAGCTATCCTACGCTGTGTACCACAGAGTGAGGGAGCGTCTCGACTCAGTCGTATCATCTGGAATCCACGCTATAGCTGCATAGCTTGACTTTGGACCACGATGATGCGGAGGGCAGCACGATCGATGCGTTTCTTCGCACACGCCGCCGACCCGGCCGGCCTCCTGCAGACTCGGAGACTGGGACCTCCACTCGAGAAGCCGGATGCCATGCGCTTGCTCATCGTTTGGCTCCTCGGCTGCTCCCAGGTAGGTCTCTAAAGTATCAGATCTCAGCAGATTTTGTGACGTGTCGTGCGACAGCAGGCACTCCAGGACTGGAATGGCAAAACAAATGGCAGAGGCACTTTACACGGGTGCGCTGAAAGCGATGCAAGACATGGAAGCCGCAGAGACCGACTTCGCGATCGACCTTCTCCGTGCCCAGGATGCGCAGGTGAGCGACCTGCTCTCGGCACACGGCTTCCTCTTTTGTGCACCGGAAAACCTCGCTTCAATGTCGGGTGAGATGAAAGAGTTCTTCGACCGCTGCTATTATGGAGCACTCGGCAGATTGAACGGACGGCCTTTCGCATTGGCTGTTTGCGGTGGCTCAGATGGAGAAGGTGCAGCGAATCAGATGGCCCGCATATGCAGGGGTTGGCGATTGAAAAATCTGGCAGTGCCTTTGATTCTCAGAAGTGGAGCGCAAACTCCTGAAGCAGTGGCTGCTGCGAAGGTCTTGGACACCAGCGGAACGGAGAAGTGCATGGATTTAGGTGGTCTGATGGCGGCCCACATGCTGCTTGGGGTGCCGTGAGAAACTGGGTTCATGGCATCTGCGTGCCCAAAACGTTAAAGCCTCAAGGCTGTGATAATTAGGCGAGGGCTGGTCGCGAAAAGCGTGGCCTTGTCCTCATGTAGGCATTCGGCCATGCCATCCGTCTGAAAGCTGTGCACTGGGGGATACAAGCTGTTCAGCAGTTTGTCGAGCTCAGAACATTCGGTGCCTGCCCGAGGCCTTTCTTGGCAAGTTTCAAGACGGCGCGCCGAGACCCCAGGGAGTGGGGAGATTGTGGGCGTCGAAAGCTCGGTCTCCTTTGGCATAGAGGTTTCGCTCCGTCTCTGCCCGAAGGCCGCGAGATGGCCACTGGCGGGTCGTCGACAGCTGGGCATAGCAGAAGTGCAGCCGGGCGGAGCCGGGCGGAGCGGGGCCTTGCAAAGGGAGGCAATCGGGACAGCCTCATAATGGGGTACTTAAACGGCATGTTCCATACTATACATTCCATACAAGACATCGCATTGCGCATGGGCCTTGTTTGGCAATGCCAACTTTCGGGCTCGTGGCTCTGGCACATAGCACGAAGCTGGCAATGAATTCATTTAATGAACCTTGCGAGAGGTGCACCGGAATCGCAGCTGAAATTCGACTTGCGTCCGGTAGCACATGCAGACGCACGCAGAGAAAGCAGGTCCGCTTGCACCTTGGCAATGGCATGCACTGCGATCCAGAAGCGGAGTCTGCTGCACCGAACCGTCGAGTGCGTTCGACTGGTTGCCGGCTCTGAGTGGAAAGTGTAGGGCTCGACGTTTGCAAGGAGGAAGGCAGCAACGGTGAGTTTGTGTGTGAGAGAGAGAGACGGAGCAAGGTAGAGAGTGAGAGAGGGGTGTTCTTTGGGGGGTGCGAACAGGCTCATTCGGGGGGGCATCGTGGCCATGCCCAGACAGACCGTTGCGAGCTGCGAGGGGGTAGGCCTCCTGGCCAGGGCCCGGGCCCCATAGCCCAAGCAAGCAAGCAAGAGACAGAGAGAGAGAGAGAGAGAGCCTCTGTGGACGCGGACCCATGGCACAACGATGGAGTCATCCACAACGATGAGCTGCAGCCCACTGGTTTTGCCGGAATGCCCACGGGAGCCCAACATACTGTTGCACACCAAACGGTGCCTATTCTACCACAAGAACCAGAGCGTCATCTACCAGGGGGTGAGCCTCTTCCAGAAGCCGACCCAACACACCGGGGGGCGACCCCAGGGTCCAGTGACTCACCGCCACCTACCATGGACCCCTGGGGGGAGCTGGCCAGGAGGTATGCAAGCCAAGGGCCACTTCTCCCACCCTCGCAATGGCAGAATAACCCGTTTGGTCTGGGTCAACCAACTACAGCGACTGCCCACAGCGATGCTGAGACGATGGAGCCCACAGAGAGCTTGGAAGGCGCCCTGTCACCCGGACTTGAGGCCCCTCAGGAAGGATGCAATGGTGACTCCAGCTCAAGCTGCCAAGCCTACATGCCGGCAGATCAACAGCCTGCCGCCTCCACCAATGATGTTGCGATGGACTCACACAATGCAGAGGGACTTTCCCCTCTCGGGGGAACCCCGCAGCAGCTCCCACTGGACCCCCAGGACGACGAGGACACCGAGATTGAATGGGAGAGCGACACCGATGACGAGCAACCAGACAACGAACTTGATTCGGCGGCAGCCGAGCGCCAGGCGACCAAACCCACCAGGAGACCGGCAGGCCATGGTTCACAGCGCGTCAAGAACAAGGCCAGGAAATCTGACGTCAAGAAACTCTGGGAAGAACGGGGGTGGCCCCCCAAGCCAGCATGGTTGACATGGCGTGGAGCCCTGGCCTGGCTTAAGCGCGGGGAGATCCCGCCTGCTAAACCGCCGCGTCCTACTCTTTCGGCGGCCAGCAAAGCAGAACTCAGCAGTCTACTAAATGCCCACCACTACAGCTATGACAGCGCTGGTAACATCGTCCCACAACAACTTTCTGAACAACAGCCTCTACAAGCTGCTGCAGGCACCACAACCTCCGACGGCCCCGCACCGCCGTTGCCAACACAGTCCAGCAAAGCAGACACGCAGGCAAGGGCAGACCATGCAGCGCGCCTCCAGAACAACCCGTACAGGCTGCCGCCTGACGCAAGGCCAAGGAGCTCCGCCCCTCGCGACAGCATCGCACCGCAGACAGAACCCACAGCCGAAGACCGACTGCCACAGCAACCAGACCGCAGCCAACAGAGCCGGAAGCAGGTCACTTTTTCTCTGCCTCGAGGACACCGAGAACATCCACCGAAGCCTACGAGAACGCAATTCATACCTCGAAAGCTGTCCAACAGCTCGCACCTTCAACTTCGGGGAGATGGAGTACACAACTACCCGGTGGTCCAGCTGCCGAGACCTCCAGTACATGAACCCATCGAGGCGGACGTTGACCCAGGGGACTTGCTCTTCTACCAGCCACCACCGAGGCCAGACGGCAGACAGGCCCCCGAAGAAGTCAGCGGGATGGAGCACCCGGAAGGGATGTCAGACCTTGAAGCACATGCAGCCATTGCCGTGACACAGCGCCGTGCCCCACAGTGGAGTGCTACGCGCAACACTGAACCGATGCGCAGTACAGTGCGTACGGGCGCCAACACACAGGACCTCTCTTGGTTGGCGGGGGCGACCCCGACAACGCTGCCACCGGTGTTCCCACTCCGGCAGCGAAGCATCTTGACACTCAGAGGCGTCGCAACCGGAGCCTGGCGAGGCACTGTTACAGACCTACGCCCATGGCAGCTCGCAAGGCATCCCCGGCGACATGGACAAGAACCTACGCTCGTTATTTACAACACCCAGTCGGGGAGTGCCCCGAGTTCCAGACACCTCCCACATGGTGTCTGCCTCACTCTGCTGCCCGTTGGGCCTTGGGTCGCCTCTACACGGGTGGAACTAGGAGCCATTGGGACGCCAAAATTATGGCTCGTCATGGTCGACGCCGATGCCACACAAACTGCCAGTAGCTCGAGACCGAGTCACAACACCACAGGGGCCATCCCCCTTACAGCAGGTATGTCCTTCTGGCTACAATGGTCCGATGATGGTCAAGAATGGCGGCGGAGACCTCGCTTCGACAACGACATCGAGAGCATGGGCGGATACTCCGCTATACCACAACAACACATACCACAACCACCCACACCCCCAGAGAGACATGATCCCACCGATGCCCGACCGAGGGGAGCTCGCCCCCTCCCGCGAGCCGCAGCCAAGGCCAAGACTAAAGCTAGACCTGCGCACCGGCCACCTCAGAACACCACTCACCCGACCCCACGACAACAACAACAACCACCTGCTGATGACACTCTGCCACCACAAGGGGACACCCCTCCCGTCCCACCAGCCCATCTGCAGTCGACTCCGCCTTCGACACAGAGCGAAAACATAAGACCGGATGGGGGGGCAATCTCAGAGTCGGAAACCCGCTGGCCGAGCGATGATCCGCCGCTGCCACCACCAGAGCAACCTCCCACAGACGACCCAGTGCTGTTGCAGACAACCGTCTACTACCAGATGCCGACTAGCTCTGAGGAAGAGCGACAACAAGAAGATGGGGCTTCGTTCATGCAGCGCGGGACGCCTGGAGTCCCGCCAGCTGCTTCTGTTGGCAACGTCCCGGCGCCTCATGCCGGGTGGACATCACCCGCACTCTCGGCCCAGATCATTCAGTTGCAGCAGGAGATCGCACAGGGGGGCACCTCTGTCATCAAGGTGCTGATGCTCCTGAGAGCTCTCTTACATGACCTACTACAACAATCACACCTACAACCACGAGAGAATGTCACGGAGTTGGCGTACCAAGCGTGCTACTACCTAGACAAGCTCCAGACTGTGGACGAGAGCAGGAGGAACACCGGGGGCATGGCCGAAGCAGGTGGACCACCCGAGACTGGGGGGAACCCCAACCAAGTCCCCGATGACCACATGGGCCCGACCGAGATCTTCTTCTACATGAACAACCCCCTCGTTGAAGCGGAGGCGACGCTGAGCAACCTTGTCATGCACCACCACGAACTACCTGACCGGCATCTTCGCAAAGAAATAAGGCGAGTCGAATCCCTCCTGAACGAGGGCCAACAGATGCTACGCAGCTGGGGGAAAGCCCCACAAGCCCCTGGCGCCCAGATAGGGGAAGCAACCCTGAGCACAGCGCTACAATGTCTGACCTTCAGCCACCTGGCGGTCAGAGAAGGTGGTACAGCGAGTATTACCGAAGCGCTCACAGAAACCCTACATGCCACGAGCCGTGCCAGTGGACAAATGGA